CATTATGCACGCAGGTTAGATGCCTCGTGGACGTCTAGAAAGCATTAGAAGTAAAATTGGTCTTGTTGTGTATTCGTGATATTCCGTCAGGTGGCGTATCCACAGCGACCGGTTGGTCATTTTTGTGTAGAAATTCGCCTCATAGAGCTGGCAAAAGTTTCGAGCCGAGCATAGAGCATGAATCTGTAGTTATTTAACATGAATAAAGTGTATGTAAGCGAAGTAACAGTGTGAGTATTTTTTATTAATTTCTGTTCGATGCTTATTCAGGCCTGCTGCCTATGGACGCCCTCTACTGTTGTTCACCACCCGTCTGGTCTGTCCCCGTAATCCATTACTGACACTTAATTACATGTCGAACTAACAACACGCGTGGAACTCTGGGTGATTGCGACGCAACGCTGGATGCATTTTACGGGATTTTCCGCGACCTAAATCATCTGCCACCGTGATTTTACGACGTTTCTCTTCAAAATGAACGCGGTTTTCTGCACGAGAGAACGAATATCACTGCGCGCGCCCGGAGAGAAAACTCAACAGAGCAGTAACTGATTTCCACAGTATAAAACACATGCATCGCATGCACCAAACATATAGTATGTAACACGCACATGATATAACATCAGGGGTTTATAATGACAAATTGTAAAAATTATGACAATTTTTTCTTGACAATTTGTCACTATTAACCCCTGATAGCATGTAACACTCGCATAATAATTAATACACGCGTACATTGCATAATTCCTGACGGCTGGTGGTCAGTTTATGAATGACTGTTTAGATATACTCAAATAAAAGCTCGGATGCCAACCAGGATCAAAATTGTCACAACAGTTTTAACAAGCTTTTGATCGGTTTACAGTCTGTCTTCTTCTTCTTATTATTCTTATTCTTATTCTTCTCCTCCTTCTCCTTCTCCTTTTCCTTATTATTCTCCTTCTCCTCCTCCTCCTCCTCCTCTTCCTCCTCCTCCTCCTTCTTCTTCTTTTTCTTCCATATACTGAGCTCTCTTGAAAGAGCGTAAGTAGCTCAACGAGACTAAGCGTGGTGGTGGCGCACAGTGTCTCAATGTTAAATCAATGTATCCAAAAGAATTAATAAAGTGTTGCATTGATAAAAATCACACGTGCATTGTTACGCAAATGTTGGCCTCCACACGTTTTGTGTACATTGACATTGACATTGTCATTGTAAAATGTACATTGACATTGTTCTCACGTGTAGCAACTACATTATAGTACATGCACGCGGTTCACACATGTACATGCAGTCTCATAGTCGATTCAACATGAATGATCTCGTATTTTCTAGCTGCCTCTGAACAATATTTGCATGCATCCCAGGGGCGTAGCTACGGGATTTCTGTGCCCCCCCAGGTGCCCCCCCACTGAAAATTCATGCTTGATAAAAAAAAATTGAATTAAAAACAATGCCGTTAGAACAGTATAACACAAAGAAAAGTTATATATTGTGCCCCCCCCCACGAAAATTTATGGCCCCCCCAGTGCCCCCCCCCCCCGCTGAAAAAATCCTAGCTACGCCACTGATGCATCCTCAATCAAAATTATTTGAAACCAGACTTAAAGATTAAAAAACCTTAATCTTACTATTGGTGCAGACAAATCTAAATTTAGTCAATTATTTCCACAAATAACACAGATAAAACATGAATTTCAATCTTAGTGCAAGAATTGCCCATGTTTTAGTGGACTTCACGATTCAGCAGTTAGCGTAATGACTGATGTGGCAACAACAAAACTTCATATCGGCAGAAACATCCTTGCCTGAACTTCGCATAGGCATTTTGGCCATATTAGAGAATAAAATAGTATCAATTAAGTATACGTTAATTGGATGCATAAACGTATAAACAATGTGCACATGTTTAAATGATAATTTTCTTCTGAAATTTGTCAAACATTCAACATTTTTAGCAACCAATAAGTTAGTACCATGTACCCTTCTCTGTAACAGTTTCTCAAGTCAGGCAACTGTGATAAAGAATGGATTTACTGAAATTCTAGTATCTTACTATAAATTGGAGATTTCTGTGTGTGTGTGTGTGTG